TGTAGACCTCTCAGATTGTTATAATATGTAGACCTCTCAGATTGTTATAATATGTAGACCTCTCAGATTGCTATAATATCTAGACCTCTCAGATTGTTATAGTTTGTAGACCTCTAAGATTGTTAAAGTTTGTAGACCTCTCAGATTGTTATAATATGTAGACCTCTCAGATTGTTATAATATGTAGACCTCTCAGATTGTTATAATATGTAGACCTCTAAGATTGTTATAGTTTGTAGACCTATCAGATTGTTATAATATGTAGACCTCTCAGATTGCTTTAATATGTAGACCTCCCTGATTGTCATTATACTATGTAGACCTTTCTGTTTGTCATTATACTATGTAGACCTTTCTGATTGTCATTATACTATGTAAACCTCTCTGTTTGTCATTACTACTATTGTTTATTTCTGCATTTATTGTAGAACGTCAAATTTATATTTATTTCTTCTAAATTCTTCCATTTGGGAATCGTTTCTATTAATATTTTATTTGATCCAAATTTTTGATATTACCTTTAGATTCTTCAACTAAAACTGTGAAATGTCAATGCTTGATCTGCTTGTACAATATATTGAATGTAGTTTCATCTAATGCAACCAAATAAACAAATACTTAAAAAGACAAACATTATCTGTACAGTTTTGTACAGTAAGATATCTTTATTGATACTTAGATAAATATAAACTTTAAACGCTTGACAATTTGTACTTCCGTTCAACTGTAAAAATCATAACAGCATTTTGATTAGACATTGAAGTGAACACATTAGTTTGCTATGCTTTATGAATATCAGTAAAGAAGAGAATTAGAAACATTATATTTTCACCCCTTTTATTTTTGATAACAGTTGCATACTATGCGACTGTCAGCAACCGTTTCTAATCAAAATCAGAACTATTCTGCATATGATGTATGGGTGGTGATGGCAATTATTTTTATTCAACCACATTTAACACCAATATTGACTCAAGAACAACAAGTCCATCATGAAACTGACATCAATGCCATCAACACAATCATCACTCAACACAACACAACACACAATCTTTGACCCTCAAATTTGACAATGACATAATAAGGGTATCAATCAAACATCATGGTCAAAATCGTACAAAAATAATTCACAAAGTATGATTACACAAAGTTATACGATGGTGTCCATCCAGAGACTTCACCTGCAAACAACTGGTTTTAGCTGATATGCCAATCTATCTCTAGGTATCTACAAAAACTTTATGACAACAGCGCCGACGAAGAGGAGGAATCTCCTGCTGTAGATACCTGGACTTTTAACGTATATAATCAGTACAAACATTAAATTTCATCATTTCACATGGATTATCTGAATTATTTAAAAAAAACAAAAACAAAAACTATAAAATCTTCATTTTATACTTATAGTGGCGGGAGACGTGAAGTCTCTAATCTGCTTTGTCTAACATGCTAAATAGTATTTAAGTTAAAAACAGATACATCCTTCATGGATTGGCATATCATCTCAAACATTCTCCCTACAATTCACATTATCATGTTTACTCTATGTATTTATTTCAAATGACATTTGTTTCTTTTGGATGAAATTAATAATACATGTTATTATGAACATTCATGAGTAGAGGGAGGGGGTATATACTGGTATTCTTGGATAATCAAGAACTAAATGATGATTCTATTACTATCAATATGGTCTAGTAGTACTGTAGTACAATCAGTCAACTTCAAACTAACATGTGATGCGTCATATTAGTGTAGTGTGAATGTGGATCATTCTAAAACAGAGCACACATGAGTACAAGGATGAATGATTTTGCCCAGCAACAGATTGAAGTATATTATAAAAAAAACAAGTAAAGGTACATTTTGTATGTATTAAAATGGGTAATGTTATGATTCAATAAAAGTATACTATACTATTGAAACAAATGTACAGTACGAGCTTCGCTTTCTCCAGGCCATGCCTGAGTCATATTAATATGTAGACCTCTCTGATTGTCATTATACTATGTAAACCTCTCTGATTGTCATTATACTATGTAAACCTCTCTGATTGTCATTATACTATGTAGACCTCTCTGTTTGTCATATACTATATGTATACCTCTCTGATTGTCATTATACTTATGTAGACCTCACTGTTTGTCATTATAATATGTATACCTCTCTGATTGTCATTATACTATGTAGACCTCACTGAGTGTCAGTATACTATGTAGACCTTTCTGATTGTCATTATACTATGTAAACCTCTCTGTTTGTCATTATACTATGTAAACCTCTCTGATTGTCATTATTCTATGTAAACCTCTCTGTTTGTCATTATACTATGTAGACCTCTCTGATTGTCATTATACTATGTAGACCTGTCTGATTGTCATTATACTATGTAGACCTC